TCCATCCATTCTTTCCACCCATTTGATACATATGTACCATGTCAACCCCAGAGGAGATAAAGAGATTTACAAGCCTCCCAAACATCTCACTATCTTAAAGGAGCATCTCCATCCCATTGAAACCCAGTTTTCAATAAACTCCTTTTACAGGTCAAATGTATGAACCTACATATCAGATTGATTTGCTCCTTGTTTAGAGTTAAGTGGTGTGCTCCACTTTGACATCTAAAAGAGAATAGAAACTTGTCCATCAAACTCTCATGGAACTAAATTTTCTGTTCCCAATCAAAGAGATTAAGAAACTAATATCCATTTTTTATAAATCCACCATGAAGCGGTTTTGCCCATGATTTTGGCCAAGGGTGCAATTTTGCAGGCTTGGGTTGAGCTTTTGTCAAAACTTGAATGGACATGGCCCAAAGGCCCAAGCCCAAAGCAGTGTACAATGCTAACTTAGGCCAACCTGAGTTGCACCCCTAGTTAAATCCCACAGTAAAGCGGACAAAACTAAGGTCATAGACATATATACAAGTGACTAATTGATGTGATTAGACTGTTTAGGCTAGATTACAACCTCTCTTTTCCCATCTTTCTTCATTGATTTCAGGCAGAAGGCATTTCGTCCTTTACACTAGGGCCCAGTCTTTAAATGTGACTGCAGAAAGTTCATGTTCCTAATTACAAATAGTACAAATGTGACTGCAACAAGTTCATGTTCCTAATTACAAAAAAGGGCCATCTTAATAGCTTATACTTTTCTCTAGACCTGTTTGCAAGTCCTTGCTTTTTCATATTGCTGAATCAGACTCCAAGACATGCATTGGATTTTGATTCCCATCTCTGTGTTCATGCAAAATTTATGGCTGCTATCGGACCTGACAACCCTCCTCCCAAGGTTCATGATAGTCAGCCCAAAATTTTTACCACCACATCAAACAACAGCACCTTGGTGGCAATATTACAAATAATGAATGAAAAAAGAAGCATAGTTGTCAAGGCATCACCTAGGTGACTAGGAGCCCTCGGTCGGTACATCACCTAGGCAACAAAAATGACAAGGCAGGCACCTTATTGTAATATCATTCATATTACCACACCCTTGTTTTTTTTTCTCTTTTGCTTACCCTCTATCTTAAATTTTATCATATAAAATCGTGGCTTTCTTTAGTTGCTAATTTGATATGAAATTGCTCTATTAAATAATTATTATATTAGTATTACTTTTAAAAGTACTGAAATTAATATATTTGAGACACCATTGTCCTAGATATGATGATTTTCCATGTTTTTAGAGGAAATTTAATGTTCTTAATAAAGAGCATTGCTATTTTTCGATTAATATGCATGTTGAATGGTATATAAAACTAGGGAACTAGGCAAATTTTAATATTTTATGTTATGAAATTCTTGTCGCCTAGGTGTTAACTAGGACCCATCTGTCACCCAGAATTGCCTTGATGCCTTGACAACTATGAACAGAAACTGAGATTATTTCAATCTGTATGGGTTTCAATTTCCCCTCAATTTCCCCAAGTACAAATTTATTAAACAACCTAAATCAAGTGCTCTTTGTGATGTTAAGATTCAAGTAGTTATGAGTTGTGCCTATTATGACTTACCTGGCGGTTAAGACCATCCCAATAGAAAAGAAGTGATGCACGGGGGTTTTCAGAAAGTTCACGTGCTTTCCGGCTTCCATAATTGGTATACCTAAGAAAACAGAAAGGAAAAAAAGAAGAAAAAAATAAAAGCAGCAGTAATATGAGAAAAAAGCAGCAATCTTCAAAAATTACATTACATTCCAAGCACTTCCAGTGGCTCTTTATTGTGGATAAACAAATATATTTAATAAAATTGTGCAACATGAATCGAAAATTATTATTAAACACACCAGAGTAGCTGCAGTCTTGTAAACCAGTACTAACCAGACAAAACCTTCTTTATCAACTCCTTTTAGCAATACCATTCGCGATGAACTGCACAATACAGGATGAGAGATGTAGATATCATGGAAAAATAAATGGCATGACACTATTTAACAAATTTCACAAAATATAGGAGCACATAGCTCAATTTAATAATTAAGGCTGTAATTGGATTTAGGGCAAAGTGGAAAAATGAGGGAGAAATACACACTTTCAGTGGATTCTATAAATGACTAGCCCTGCAAGCACCCTGGAATCCACCAAAGGAGTAGAAAACACAGGAAAAAGATCCACATTTCCTGTATTCCACTTTGTGCTATTTCAGGAGCCAAACAGCAAAACGTGGAAGGACTTAGACTCTTGAAAGTTGAATCCCTTTCCTCTGTATTTTCCATTTCCACCTCAATCCAAAAATAGCCTAAAAGTATATCAGAGAGGCGTAAGGAAAATCAATAAAAGCTACAAACTGTAGCTACCAAAGAGTGACAGAGAACAAATGGGAGGAGATATACAGTTTTCCATCTTTGTTGGCAGTTGACAAGGCCATAGCATTTGGCTCCCGCAAGCCAGCTGCCACTGCATCACCAAACCATTTTTGGAACTGCAAGAAAAAAACTATTGATGTAACTTTTTCCAAAGGAATGGGACTTTGCACTCAATTATGAAAAAACCCGAAAATGTGTCCTAAACATTACTGAACCACGGCATTCAACACAATAACAAGCTGTTGCTTCTTGAATAACCTAAATCTGCAATTTGCTACATATATTAAAGAATCAGAAATTTGGACAAAAGATTAACTGCACTATTTGTGCAAATGCATACCTGATCTATAGGGTCAGGCTCAACATGATCCTCCAGAAATGCAGGAGATATATAGTTCTCTCTTAGAGATGATATGTCAATTGAAGGAAGTTTCCCAATCCGGACACACATAGAAGTACCAGGATATGGTGGAAGGCAAAGCTTATACTTATCTGCAATTGATGGTGGAACAAATCTGCCACCTAGAAAGTGGTGGCAACCACAAAACTTCTTGGCACACAGTTTTGGAGCTGTCAATGAAACCTGACAAGTACCAAAATTAAAAACAGTAATGAACTCAAGATGGATTGACAATACCCTACAAAAGATATTTGCAATCTGTTAAAATGCGGCATAGTAGGGTAGATAGTTAAGTTATATCAGACACAAACCAGCATGTCAGGTTTGATGCCTTCTCCACTAACGTCTCCTTCTTCCACATGCCACCCAGAGGGAATATCTACAGATACAATAACAGGCGATCTCTGGCGTGTCTGATCATGACTTTGCAAGCTAAGCAGCCTCTGTATTAGGTCATCAAAAGGTGGCCTTGGTGTACCTTAAGTATTTCAGAACATTGCAATTAGATGCTATATATGGATAAGACTATGGATTTTTTCCTGTCTTAACCATGATAGTAAACTGATAACGTTATCCCAGGATATCATAATTACTGTTCCTCCACAACCTCATACAAAAAATTTGAATCCATAAGAAGTGTATGGCATTCTATCTTTCATAACTAACTAAAACTAACCCAAACAAATTTAAGCCAATTCTCATAGGACCCAATCAAGATGGGAGCAGATTGATGTAGTCCCTGTTCAGGAGTGCTTATTTTTAAGCACTTATTGGAAAAAAGGCATTGAATTTAAGCCAGGACCACACCAATAAGCACGTATATGTGTTTGGGAAATAAGCCCGAATAAGTGCTTTTGCAGGAAATAAGACTGCTTTGACTAAGCTCAAAATTTTGCCTATTTTTCAAGTGTTTTTTGAAAAAGTGCTTATTGCGTTTCTGGCCCATCTTGGCTTGCCATGCAACTTTCAAAATACCTACACTATCCATATTTGAAAGAAGCACTTTTTCACCAAACATTCATAAGCACTTATTTATCTAATAAGCACACCCAAACAATCACATAGAGTATTCTGAAAGAGAAGGGCAAGTGCTGCACCTCACCAAATTAGAAGAAGCTACAATGGTGATTTGGGAGGAAAAATAGAAATTACAGATAAAAAAATAGAGAAGATGAGAAGATATAGGTGGAATATTGTAGAAAATCTTAACTTGTAAGGCAGGTAACATAATAAAAGAAATTTACAGAAGTGACAATTTACTCTTCATTTTTTCTGTCTGTTACATTTTTTACTTCCTTGAATTTTGTACTAAATGCAATGTTGATTTCAAGGTTCTAGGTTGTGTGCACTGGAAAGAAGTTGAGAGATAAGATCAACAGAAAGGACTCACTCCTCATGAAAGACTCTTAATTACAAGGAGCTAGAAGGCTAAAACTTTAAAACGTAGCACCAGTATGTGCAAACATTTAACAACTAAATCCATAAGAGGTACATGTATACGAAGAGGCATAGGCATAAGAAAACAATAATAAATAAAATCCTAACTATATGTATGTATGTATGTATGTATGTATGCATAGTAGAAATCACTATTTGCTGATTCAGTCAAGCTTCTTGTGAGAGAAAGAGGGGGGAGGTGAAGATTTCAGCAGTAGAGAAGGAAGGAGAAGAAGAAAAGAGTAGGAGGTCAACTAGGATTGTGAGAAAGTTAACCTTAGCCGCCTACCTCTCATTATATTTTTAATTA